CTCACTTGGTAGCCCAGGCTGGCCTCGAACTCACAGAGATCCGCCTGGCTCTGCCTCCCGAGTGCTGGGATTAAAGGCGTGCGCCACCACCGCCCGGCCTGATAATTATATCTTATTCTACATTTATTGCAGCATGCTTTTTCTTATATTGGGCTAAGTTAAAAGATTATCTTTTTGTACAAAATATGACTAAGATCTCTGTATCAAGCAGGGATAACAATAGTGGTCATATTTTAAGTCTACTAGATAATAGTATGTTCTGTGCTCTTCAGTATGCCTTCATGTACGTTTCTACTAGTCCCTTAAACATCTTTAGCCCTACGTTCTGGTGTCTTTGGTGTGGAAAGGTACTCTACAGGCTACCAAAAGATAAACAAAAAAACCAACCCAGCTACAAAAGCTTTGACCAACAATCTATCTTTCCTGCAAGATATGCTAGGGCAATGATGGAACAGAACTTGTGGGATTAGCCAACCAATGTCTGATTTGACTTAAGGGTCACTCTACAGGAAGGAACTGATACTGGACACTGCTTGGGTGACCAAGAACTAGACACTAAATAGCCCCAGAGACCTATGGTAAAACCAAACACTACTGGTCTGATCAAAACAAAACAGAACGTAAATAACAACAACAACAACAAAAACTAACAAAAAAAGCATCAATAAAATGACTCCTAACAGTATTCTGCTATACTCATAGATCAGTGTCTTATTCAGTTATCATCAGAGAAGCTTCCTTCTGCATCAGACAAGAACAAATGCAGAGACCCACAGTAAGACAAGTGGAGAGTGAGTCCTTGGAACACACAGCTCTAAATGGAATGTCTCCATTAAATCCCTCCACTCAAAGCGCAGGGAACTCCGCAGAAAAGGAATCAGAAAGAGTGAAAGAGTCAGAAGGGATGAAGGACCTCATGAGAAAAAGGTCCCCTGCATCAACTAAGCAAGGCTCTTATGAATTCACAGAGCAGCAAATATGGGCCTATTCAGGTCTGCAACAGGTCCTGTGTGTACATATTATACCTATTAGCTTAGTATTTTAATAGGACTCTTGAGTGTGTGAACAAGTAGGTTTCTGATTCCTGTACTTGCTCTTGGGGCTCCTTTCCTTGTCCAACCTTGATGTGATATTTTTTGTTATATCTTACTCTATTTTATTTTGTCATTAAATCTTTTAGAAGCCTGTTCTTTCCTAATGAGATAGGAAGGAAGTGGGTCTGGAGAGGAGGAGGTGGGGAGGAACTGGAATGAGTAGAGGGAAGGGAAACTATAATCAGGATATATTGTATGAGAAAAATATCTATTTTCAGCAAAAGGAAAAAAAGAAAAAGAAAAGACTAATTACAACCCCTCATTTCATAGGCAAGAAAACGCAGTAACAAGTGA